CTAATTGTAATGTTGTGCTGATTTGTGATGAATGCAGTAGCGATTTCACAGCCAGTTAGTGGGGGAATAAGCCCTTGCTGTTTTTTTTTTTTTCTATTCAAGCATGTGCTGTGGTTTTATTTGCTCAGATTGTATTTGTTGAGACACTGTATAACACTTTCTCCAGGCAACTGTGGCAAGCAGTTAGAGAAACAAGAAAGCAGGGAGGTCCGATTGCCCTGCTAATTGGTGCTGGCAAACGATTAGAGCAGGGCCCATAACAGAAACGCCCCCTTAATTTTCACCCATCATTACATCACAGCACACTCGGGCGAACACAGACCTGTCCAAAAGATTTGTAGAAACGAACAAGAAGCAGCAAACATGTTGAGCCTTTCAATTGTTTGGAATAGAATAGTGTGATTTAATTTCTTAAATCAGAATAAATAAATCTAATGGAGACTGTACCAGCAAAGAAAGCATAACAGTAACCTACCGAATCTATACATAAAACATAAAATATCATTTTTATGATATAATTTTAATCAATATGCTTTTTCAGCTCCTAAAAAAGCCTACTTTGGGCAGTATATGTTTAATCATAAAAAGCACAAATAATACAAGAAATACACTCTTACTTTACAACTAAAACATATAGAACCTGAATCTTGAATTGTTTTTAATCCATTGATTTACAATACCTGAACTGTCTGAACAATCCGATTCACTAAAATGAATCTGACTTTTCAATGAAAGTTTAACTCAGCAAGTGAGAGAGATTCGTTGACTTACTAGAATGATTTTACACAATTTGGCAAGACATTTAAGAGAGAGCCACTGGGGTAAATCAATTCACTAGAATGATTCAAACATTTTGTTACTATATAAAAAGAGCATTGTTAATATGAACCACTTGAATCAGACAATCCAGAGCAATATACATATGGTAGAGAGATTCATTCAGGATGAATCAATTCTTTTGAATGATTCAAACATTTCAGAATTAGGTAAATATCTAGAAAGAGAACAATTGATTAAGTATTATGATTAGGATTCATTCAAGATGAACTGACTCACTTTAATGATTTAACATTCTGCTACAACATATGAATGGATTACTAGAATGAACTGCTCAGTCTACAGCAAGATACTTTATGGGATGGCAAAATCATTCAGGATTAATAGATTCACCAGAATGATTCAAAGATTCCAACACTTAATAAAGAAAGAGAATTGTTTGAACAAATTCAGTAAAACCAGACAGTTTAGAGGAATAAAAGAGAGACTACTTACTGGAAAAACTAGCTAATTACTTACAGGAATAACTGTTGAAAATGATTTTTGACAGAACAAAAAAATCTAAAGCAGAGCGCACACTGTACATCCTTTCCAGCTAAATGTTTATTCTCAAATCACATGACAATTCATCGTATCAACAATCACATAAGCCATTTCTCTTAGATTATGAGTGACTTTTGAGTGACTCTCTTTTTCCTTTGAGCTTACATTTATCACAGGCCATCAAAAGGATTCCAGAGAGATAAATAAGATTTATTACAGTACAGTCACCCTCTTGGAAGCTTTGTTACTTTCCATCATATGGAAAAAACTAATGCAGTTGAATTTGAAACTAGTTTTAAGTTCTTAAAGTAGCGGCTGTCTTATGGAGTCCAGTTAAAAAAAAAAAAAAAAAAAAAAAATATATATATATATATATATATATATGCATAATTGTTGGCACCTTTTAAGCATGTGCAAACACTAATAGTCCATTTATCCGCCCTCTTTGGTCTTCATGCACCATTTGGAAGCACTCAGTGGTAACGTTAATGGCAGATTCAGTTCATTTAACCATGTTTATACCATCTCAGTTTAGCCTGATAATTCGATCCATTTCTACACCTCTTGAAGCAGATTTTCAGTTCTCTGAGGATTAACAATCACTCAGCCCCAAAACCCCTGCAAGGCTTCCGAGTGAGAGGAACTGGCCCCTAATGTGAATAATGGAGCCCTGCTCAACTGAATGACTTTCACATGCAAAAAGTAGCATGGTGTGCCTTCCACAATGACCTGAATAAATGGACTTTTTTCCATTTCCAGATAGTTTATGTAACTGGTAATAAATCATCACCTTAATGTCTGATTAACTGGGGCATATTTGATACTATCAGAAGAGAGCAGATAGAAAGGAAAAGCAAGCAAGGGTGTAGTGTGCAAACAATGTTTGACAAATGTACAAAGCAGTTTAATGAGAGGACAGAATTGTGGCAAAAATAAATCCATAATGATTCATAATAAAATAATGGAAAAATATGTTCATTGCTTTCAGAGAACTGGGGAAACATGAAAAACACAAGAAGAACAATTCAATTTTTATAGTAAACCTTTTTTTTTCTTTAGTCACAAACATGAGTATACACTATAAAAATGTTGCGCTGGTTCAACCTTAGTCAAATATGCATAAACCAAACCATTAGGTTAAGTGGCTCAATTTAATTTAATTTAATTTAATTTAATTTAATTTAATTTAATTTAATTTAATTTAATTTAATTTAATTTAATCATAATTTAATTTAATTTAATTTAAACATCATTGGTTTTGTCCATATTTAGCCTAACATTTGTTTAAAACAACCCAGTAGTTTATCCCAGCTTCTTGTCAGTGTTCTTCTCAAAGTGAAAGTGTTGCAGTTGGAAGTCTCATGAAAGATAGTGAAAAAAGAGATTATCCAGATCTGATATGTTATCGCTGTGCTGATGGGTTGAAGTGTTCTAGGTGTCAGCGGGATAAAACATGACAGCTGCTTAACACTTCTTTTCTGTGTGTGTGAGAGACTGTATCCCTATTTAGGCACACTCAGCTGGAGTGAGTGAGTGTGGCTGTAGTGTCTGTGCAGTGGTATGAATACAGCTTCTCTTTTGAGGTTATTTCAGTTGCTGTGTTGGGAATAAAGATGCTTGTGACTGATTTATATGAATGGAATATTTGACAAAATAAGGATGGAAAATCGGAAAGATAGATAGATAGATATAACATTTGACAAAATATTGATCTTTAGATGGACAGAACAATAAATTAATGACAGAAGAGAACAAGAAGATTTGATAAATAGATAAAAAACATTGATAGAACAATACAATGACAGAACGATGGATGGATGGATGGACAGAATGGCAGAATTATAGATATGATGACTGGATTTATAGATAATGGCTGGATATATGAATTTGTTGAATGATAGATGGAATGATGGATGGATGGACAGAATATCAGAATAATAGATAGAATGATGGGTGGATTTATGAATAATGGCTGATATATGGATTTGTAGAATGATGGATGGATGGACAGAATGGCAGAATAATAGAAAGATGGTTGGATTTATAGATAATACCTGGAAATATATGTATTCATAGAATAATAGAATGATGGATGGATGATTGGATAAATGGACAGAATGGCAGAATAATAAATAAAATGATGGGTGGGTTTACAGATAATGGCTGGAAAAATGGATTTGTAGAATGATAGATAAAAGGATGGATGGGCGGATAGAATGGCAAAATAATAGAATGATGGTGGATTTATAGATAATAGCTGGATACATGAATTTGTAGAACGATAGAGTGATGGATGGATAGATAGATGGATAGATGGACAAAATGGCAGAATAATAGATAGAATAATGGGTGGATTTATGGAAAATGGCTGATACATGGATTTGTAGAATGATAGATACAATGATGGATTGATGGATGGACAGATGGATGGATGGATGGATGGATGGACAGAATGTCAGAATAATAGACAGAATGATGGGTGGATTTATGGATAATGACTGTATGGAATGTATGGATGGACAGAATGGCAAAATAATAAAAAGAATGATGAGTGCGTTTACAGATAATGGCTGGATAAATGGATTTGTAGAATGATGGGTGGATGGATGGATGGACAGAATGGCAGAATAATAGAATGATGGGTGGATTTATGGATAATGGCTGACTTTATGGATTTGTAGAATGATGGATGGATGGATGGATGAATGAATGAATGAATGGAAAGAATAATAGAATGATGGATAGATTTATGGATAATGGCTGTGTATATGGATTTGTGGAATGATAGATAGAATGATGGATGGATGATAGGCAGAATGGCAGGATAATAGAATGACAGGTCTGACAGAAAAATCCATTTTGACAGATGGACAGATTGAAAACAATGAAGCTAAAAGAAAAGAACAGAACAGTGGATTGATGGGTGAATCAATGAATTGATAGATGGAGGGGTGGATTGATGGATAAAAAAACGATAAAGTACATTCTTTTATACCGCTCCCAAAATTAAATCAAATAAATATGTAATAAAACTGTTGACTGACTACTAACTAAATATCCACATCTTTTTCATAATACTCACAAGGGATGGTAAAACTAGCATAATATTTTGTCTTTAAAAGTCAGAGGTCAAAGTCATGAGCAGGTGTGTGTGTGTGTGTGCACAGGATCTGGAGTGAGTACTTTTATGAAGCCATTGTCTTTTAATGAAACGTTGTAAATGGACGGAAGCCCAGAGAGCCAGTGATGTCATTACAATAATAAAGCTCTCTCAGGACACCAGTCAAACATCTATATGATTTCTCCCACCGTGTTAAGAGTCTTCAATGACCAACAAGGGACCGAAAACACCACCTAAATCATTCCACATCACATCACATTCAGATTCCACATCAGCAAGAACCACAATCCCTGAAGAATATGACAGCAGTAAAGCAATTGTGTGATTGTTCAATAAATATATAATACTCTGTGAGGGTGAAAATGTACGTCACGGGTATTTTACAGATAAGCATTTGTTCAAATCAGGGAATGTGATCTCTTAGTCATTTGCCCTTTAGTAGGGCAATTTCCTGTGAATTACAGGTCTCGAAAGGAACACGTAAAAATGTATTTTTAAACAGAAACAGATATTTGTGGGAAATTTTCAACTTTTCTCTCTTCTTTCTCCTCTCCCATAGCTTGTCACTGTAACCTACATGCCCGCCGCTGCCGCTTCAACATGGAGCTGTATAAGTTGTCAGGCCGCAGGAGTGGAGGAGTCTGCCTGAACTGCAGACACAACACCGCCGGACGCCACTGCCACTACTGTAAAGAGGGCTACTACAGAGACATGAGCAAGGCTATATCACACCGACGTGCATGCAAAGGTAGGAAACCATGCAATTAATCTATGTGCATGGATCCTTTGACATTTACTTAACAACAGTTTGGACAAACAAAGCACTTTAACTGAGAGCAATTATTAACTCATTCCCTATCAATGAGGAGATATCTCAGGTGATGAAGGACACGGATTCTGATCACTCATGTTTTGACTAAGGTTGTCACGATATTGGAATTTTGTACCAATCGATACTGGAATTTTAAAAACATAAATTTCCCACAAACATTTGAGCGCTATTAGGGCGTTCCTTAACAGCACTGATTTGCCTTCATGTTCAAGTGCTCAACAGAAATGACTGTGTTTGGTCGTGAAGGTCATTAGTTCACTGAACTCACCGCTGTTTACTGAGTGTAACCTCAGATACAGGGACACTGGAGTGTTTTAAAGTCATGTTGATCAGCTGGTTTGTCTATAAGCTGACATGCTTTCGCTGATGAATCGTGACTTCAAAATGCTCCAGCGACTCTGTATCCGTGGTTAGACTTAGTAAACAGTGGTGAGTTTGGTGAACTGATGACCTTCATGGCCAATTACAGTCATTTCTGTTGAGCACGTAAACACAAAGCAAATCAGCTGTGTTTAAGAACTTGCTCAACATCGCTCCAATGTTAGCAGGAAAAGGACATTTTAAAAATTTTAGTATTGATTGGTACCGAATTCCAGTATCATGACAACCATATTTGTGACCAATTTGAATTGAATAAGGATGAAGAAATCAGTGAGATAGATCTCTTTATAGACACAGAAACACAATATGAATGCTCAAGTTTTACATGTTTTAGTGTTTGATTTTCAGATCCGAAAGAGATTCGAATATGACAGTGTTTGAATAAAGGGGTATCCTTGGAAAATTAACCCAGGCCAAAAATCCAAGGAAAACTGCCACAGAACCGAGCTTATTAACAATAACAGTGAAAGAAGCCAATTATTCACTCAACCGTGAAAGAAAAAATAAATGTAAAGGCACCAGAGATTACACATGTGCTCTAGGCCTAAGAGACCTCATGTTCACACTTAGAGGTCAGGTAGACTGGAAGGCTGTTCAAAACTTACTAAGCTGGTCACGTTGGAAAATTTCTAAAGCATCATAGGAGCACATACGATGTAGACATTGCCATTATAATTTCTATATAATAAAAAACAAATAAACAAAACAAAAACACGTAAACTTGGAATTACAAGTTACCCACAATGTCAATGAAACACTGTCCCTACAAGCTGTGTAATGTTCCTAGATTTACATTAGGCTTTTAAAATTGTTAGAGCTTTTTTAAATGACTCACACATGCATCTCACCTTCCTTGCTAAAGTATGTTCTAGGGCTGTGTGATTAATCGAAATTGAATCGCAATCGATTCAATCACAATTGAGTGAGCACACTTTTTTCTGCCCAATCAGAATTTTGTATAACCGAACTATGGCGCTAAAAGGTCAACTAAAAGTATTGCTAGTGACACATAATATAGCAGCTAGCAACAGCAAAGTACAGTACAATTGTTGAGTTGTTTGCAGCTGTTACACATTATGAAAAAACATTACAAAGGCACCAGGAGATAACTAATGGCATAACTTACTACTGTTTGCTCTAGAGAAAAATTAGTGTTTATTTAGGGGTGTCAAAATTAATTGTTTCTTTGGTGCACAGTAATGCAGACACTGACAATTTGGTTTTAGTTCAGTAATAATCATAACTGGTTATTATGTGCTGACGTCATGTATCTCATATGCGCTATGTGGCTGTAGCTTATTATGGCAAGGGAGGTGAGCTAGAGTATGTACAACGCTCTAACTACTTAAAAATGCAGAAACTGCACAATTTCACTGCGTGTGTGTTTGCTGGACAGTCTTTCACTGACACTTACAGCAGAAGCCCCTATTTTACTGCGATTGACAGAATGAAAGTAAACTCCATTTCCCTCTCTCTGACTGTGGCCCATTTGTCCTGCTGGCGTGACGTTTCCTCTCCTCTAAGCTGTTACAGCGATACTTTTGGATACAGACATAAGCGCATGTCTGCAAAGTTTTCTCCACCGAGTCTATTATGAATCAGCTGAGATCGCCGATGCCGTTTATCAGTGTCACTCATCTGTGAATAGCCAATCGCAGCCCTTTCTGTTGAGCAATCAAAGGGGTGTAAGAAAGAACTTGGTATTCAAGGCTCAGAAAGCCAGCCGAATATTTATATTTGTTTATTTGCTATAAATACTTGTGTTGTTTAAAGGTACAATTTATATATCTGACTGTTTGTATTGAAGGACAAAATTGTATTAAAAATAGTAAATATAAATATATTTATACAATTTAATACAAGAATTGCTGTGCTGTGAAAAAATATAAAACTGTGTATGGAAAGCATCGTCAACGCACCGTGATGCACCGAGATATCGAATTGAACCGAATCAATAGTATGATAATGGTAATCAAACCAAACCGTGAGACCAGTGTAGGTTCACAACTCTAGTTGAGATTACGTCAAACAATGAAAAAAAGGCAAGTTTCAAAGCACTTCACGGGACCTTTTATGCACAAGTAGTTGCAGTCAGTTTTGACCACAGTTCCAAATGAATGCACTTCTGCCAGTAGTAATCGTAGCAACATACAGTGCTAGTAGAGCTCATCATTCCTCTGTGTAATCTCGAGGGCACCAACATGTAGGGGTGTAACAATATTAAAACCGAACCGAAATATCGCGATATACCAACCACGATAGGTATCGCGAAACTCTCGTGGCGTACCGCGGTACTCTCACGCCCCCTGCTGCCCATTGTTGAGGTTGACGTCACTTGTCTCTAACTAACTGAACCAATTTAAACACATCTTTATTATAATATTTGATTAAATTGTTTTAGTAATGATGAGAATTTGTTCTAAATATTATATTCTAAAGTTAGTATTTTAGTGCATGTTATGTCATGTGACTTGAGTAAGCATCACACTCGTTACTACTGGATGCAGGATGGCTGCTTCACATAGCACTGAGATTGCAGATCCCCAAGACACATTTAAGTCATCTGTGTGGAAACATTTTGGTTTTCCAGTTGAGTACAGGAATAGAATTTGTGTCGTAGACAAAGCGCACGCCTGTCTGTCTCAACTGTTTCACGAAACTTACTTGTAAGGAAAAACATTTAAAAAGTGGGGTAATTTCACAATGTGAGGGTGTAAGCAACAGAACTGCCAACAAAAGTGATTTATTGTACAAAAGTAAAACCAGAATAACGCCCAAATATACAAAAAAAGAGAAATATTTACACTAATAAAAATAATATAATAAAGTAACAAATTCAAACAAAAGTATCAAACAAAAATTAGTTAAACTCGAGCAAGGGGGTGATAGTGGAGACAAACAAAAGAAATAAATATAATAAAACAATTCTAACTCATGAATAACCCCTCTTACCTCGCTAAAACTGATGAAAAGAAAAAAAAGGTCTTCAGCGCCGTGCGCCGCATTCTTCCCTATACTGAATAAAATAAACAAAGATGACCTTCACCTCTTACCTGATGTCTTTAACAATACATTTTCTACGTGTTTGCAAAATGGAAATCATATGACATTTTCCCTATCCACCTTACACTAAGACTGAACTTGAGGAGATACAGCTATATTGTCGGGAAGGAGCGGAGCTTAAAAATAATATACAAATCAATTGAAATAAAAATGTACAAACCTCACAAAATTTCTTAAAGTGGGCAAAAGTAATGCAAAATAATTTTACCCAAACGAAAGTTAAGCAAAAACAACGAAAATCATAATCATGTCAGAAAAATACACGAAAAACGAGATCAAAGGAAAAAGCGCTCTCTCTCCCGCTCTTCCTGAATTGCTTTTTACATTCCCGCGCTGCGTCGCCAAATGATGATAGATCGGTCTCCTGACCAATCAGCTGTCAAAAAGGCGGACCTACAGAAATGAGAGGCATCAGCTGTCGTGAAGGCGGACCTACAGTACATAAATGACCGGCATAGAGGGAGCGGGAGAGAGAGAGAGAGAGAGAGAGATCGGGAGGCAAACATACAGCCGGCTACAACCCTACACTGTAAAAAATTTGACCTTAAATTCACAGTAAATTACTGGCTAATAATTGCATTACTTTCACAGTAAATTACTGTATGTAAATTCACAGTAAATTATTGTGAGGTAGTTCACAGTAATTTACTGTGGTTTTGTCACATTAAATTATTGTGAAATTACAACCATATATTGTAACTTTACAGTAGATAATAAAGTCCGTTACTGTGATTTTACAGTATTATCTTGTAGAATTAACTATATTTTACTGTGAATTTGCAATATGATTACTGTGATTTAGCAGTAGGTTGCCGTTTCAATACATGATTTAACTGTAAAGTTTGGTGCTGTAAAATTTCAAAGCAAATTTAGGTCACACAAAAATGAAAATTCTATCTTGATTTACTCACCCTCAGGTTGTTCCAGCTCTGTTAAAAATGATTTTTTTGTTAAACACAGGAATAAAAATATCAAATATTCCCCTTTGTGTCTAAACAACCTGAAAATGCGTAAATGATGACATAATCTTCATTTTTGGGTGATCTGAGAAGACTCTAAAATCAAAATAAAAACAAACACGCATACATTTTACAGATTTATTTAACAGCTTAATGACATCTGTGAAGCATTTCAGAAAACTTTCAAAAGGTGAAGGTGAAGCCCCAAAAAATCCTAAGAACATAATAACAAAAAAATCTGACATCATATGTAGCATACATATAAAAAGCAGTGCTTCAGAGTGCGCTCTCTCTCTCTCTCATTATATATATATATATATATATATATATATATATATATATATATATATATATATATATATATATATCATGAATCATTTTCCTGATAATTTTACACACTTGCTGGTTGATGTGTCTTCTCTGCTTCTTTGACTTCGTCTGTCTTCCATCTCCAAACTGGTGCCCAAAAAGCACCTATAAGCAAAAGGGCAGACAAACAGTTAGCTTCATACA